ACCACCATGCCCACCATCACCACCACCGCCACAGCGGCCACGGCACGGCTGCTACTGCTACTGCTGTCGCTACTGCTACTGCTGGCACGACGAGCCCTACTCCTGTGACTATGTCCCCCTGATCACAGTAATGCCACTAATAAAGGCACTACTAGTCGAGTTAGATACCGCGTGTCGTCATTATATAATTATAGTACCGGCACCATTAAGCCACTTTCTTTACTCTTAAACGCACTCGTTAATAGGTCGTCGACGTCATCGACTTCGCGAGGGTTGCTTCAAAGTGCATGCGCGCAGCGTGCCATCTTTTGTGCCGCAGGGCGGCCGGTGGTGATCTTGAACGGGTCAGCGCTGACCTTCGTCCTCAGACAACAAGGGGCCTAAACCCAATACATGCCCCAGGATTGTACACCGACACCGCGATTAAACTCGAATGGGTAATCGTTGGTGCTCAGCTGTCGGACTGGATTTGGGGCAACAGGAAGCCTTGAAAAGCACTCCTCTGTCCATCGCATGCCCTGTAGAGAGTTGCTGATTGCTGGCAGGGTTCCACTACGGGCCCTTTCAACTTATATAAACTCAAAACTAAGCGCACAACCCCACCTAAAGTACTCACGCCTGGTCCATTTCTGCATTTCACACAGTGTTTAGGGGCAGATCGTACCCTGAATAAATCCTTTACGAACCCGGACATCTGATCCCTCAACCCGAAACCCTAGTAAACCTTGAGCTCTGGAGCCGGGCCTGTAATCCCCATCTGTTCGTGTCCAGCCATCCGATGGCCGAGGCCACATGCTTAAACCCTACGGCACCATGCTGTAACCTCAGGGTTACGGGTTGTAGCGCTTAGGGCCTTGGTGTAGAGCTGAAGGTTTAGACCCTGAACACCGCAGTCAAGGTTTCAGGTGCAAAGGTTCCGCAAGCCCCAACACAGCAAATATCTAGGCAGCTGAGCACAGGACACCTTGTTGTCCAATGGCAGTGTGCCAGCTACGTGCATGGCCTCTGAAACGGAGCATTGAGAGTTTTGGAGGTTAATTAACTCAAACCGTAAACACTTACACTCAAAACACTGAAACCCCTTTAACTTCAACGGCTAGGGGTTTCAATGGATTTGGGTTTGACCTTCTGGGGCGTTGAGGGTTCAGGATTTTACATTCGGGCTCTTACGGCTTAGGGGTAGTGAACACAGGGGTGAATACATAGAGATCACAGATGCTCAACGACCGAGCACTGTGACCCAATCACCAACCAGCAAACAGCTCCACATCCCAAACGCACTAAACCCGAGCTTTCTCTCAGTCGGTGGACACATAGAGCAAGGTACGAGCCACTACTTATCTACGGCAAGACTTCAAACCATAAAGCGCTGTAGCACCCTAAATGGTGCGGAAACCGAGCACAATTTCGATTGTCAAGCTCATCACTGCCTATAGATCCCGACAAAGCCACCTGGGTAGCCATCTAAATCAGGGTCCCTTTTCAGGTCCACAATGCAGTACGGCACCCTTATAAGAAGGACCCTAAAAGGGACCCTAATTTAGAGAACTACCCACATGGAAAACCCAAAAAGACCAATGCCCGAAACTTCAACCGGCAGCAGACCTTGCAGATGCCCTGCAGATTTCATGCCCTAAACCTTATAAACCCTAAACCCTAAGCCCTGAGAATGCAACCCTAAAGCCCGAAACCCCTACGCCTCAAGTCCTAAAGACCCTGAAAGACCAGAGCAGTTCACTCGGAACCCGAAAAAACCCCAAAACCCTAAAACTCTGAAACCCTCAAGCCAGGCCCTAGAACCGTCATAGAACCCTAGAGTGAACTACTGTCGATGATATAAATCCTGCATGACCTTAAGGACCCTAAGCTACGGGAATTATGGTATATTCCTTATTACGGGTAATGCAGGATTTATATCATCAACCGTATAAATCCTGCGACCCTACACCTCTTTGCTGAAGGAGGAAAAGCTTTCCGCCTGCGTCAGCCACTCGGCACCAAACTTGGAGCTCAAGAGCATCTCCTTGGGATTTACCTAGACCCTAGACCCTAAACCCCAAAACCGAATGGCTTATGGTTTAGGGCCTAGGGTTTAGGTCTGGAACAGGTCTTTGCAGCCCTTTACCAGGCTGTGCCCCTAAATCAAACACTCTCCCAAATACTAACTAACTTGCAAAACGACAATCCCCAAAAAAAACAAGTGCCTACTGTATCAGGTACTCTGGACGCTTAGGGTATAGGTGTTCAGATAGTGGTTTGGGGCTTCACGGATTGAAGGTTTAGGGGGATAGGGTGTAAGTTCGGTTTAAGGTTTGTGTCTATTGTTTGTGTCTAGTTGGGCTAAGGGTTTAGGGTGGTCCTCCCCAGCCCTGTTCCCCCTAAACCCTAAACCCCAAACCCTAAACCCTAAACCCTAGACCCTAAACCCCAAACCCTAACCCCAAACCCCAAACCCCAAACCCTAAACCCTAAACCCAAAGCCCTGTGAGTTGGATTGCACCGGTCCTCCGTCCACGGGAACTGCAGGCCATAAAACCTGAGGGAGCCGCAGGAAGCTCAGTTTGGGAGTTCAGGGCAAGGGTTCGGGCTTAGGCTTTAGGGGTTTAGGGTTTAGGAGTTTAGGGTTTTAGGGTTTAGGGGCTTTAGGGTTTAGGGTCTATAGGAGTTTAGGGTTTTAGGGTTTAGGGGTTTAGGATTAAAGGGTTTAGGGCGCAGGGTTTAGGGCTTCTTCGATGGCTGCGGGTTGCGGCTGGGGGTTTGGACTTTGCAGTGCAGGTTTACTTAGTTGCTGAGTTCATAAGCACAAAAAGTGTACGCGTTCAGTTCTATAAGGGGGCATCGTATCCCAAAAAGTTTAAAGTCTAGTCATTCAGCTACTAATTTTAGGTTGTCCTGATACGGTTGATTACAACCCCTCAGACTCTAATCCAACAGCAATTCTGTAGCTTGGCGCCTGGCTACTAGGGTTTTGGGTCTCAGGTTTGGCGCTTTTCAAAACGAGGCTCAGGAAACCTTGCGGACAACGCCTACGAGGCCTAAACCTCCAGATAGGTCCAAAGATAGACTCGCCAGGGCTGGAAACCAACCTTATTAAACCCCTGATCGCTTGAATGCCCATATCACCTTCTGCGTGCTTTACGGTGCTCTGATTAATCATGTTCTTGATAACAAAGAACGCTTGAAGGGAATCGAACGTCAAGAAGCCACTGTATGCTGCGTATAGCTTAGGGTATTGCGGTTGAGGTTCTAGTCTTTGGGGTTGGGCAAAGCAGCCGTGATAGTTTGGGGTGTATGTCCTGAGGTTCAAAATCAGAAGGTTCAAGGTTCGCGGCCTAGGGCTTTAGGATTTTTGTCGGTTACAATGCCTCCAAAGACCTGGACCCGTGCATCCTCATCTTAGACATCTGTAAAAATCAAAACCAGAATCATACGGACGGCTAAACTTCAAAACCTAACCTCAAAACCCAACCCGACCCCTGTTTCCTGATGCCGGACCTCTAGCACATGGCCGTCAGTCGAATCGATGCCTAAGCCCCTACAACCGTCATATCCTGCACACAGTAAACCTCTAAACCTGAAGCCCTATAAATCGAAAACCCTTAAACCCTTAACCCTTAAACCCTGAACCTGCAAACACACACCCGATATCCGAAGCCGACTTCAAAAACTGATATTGAAACATGCGAGCCTGACGACACAAGGGTTCAGGGTCCTACCTCAAGCTACCTTCGGGGCCTGAAGAAATGGAATAGATGGCTGTGGTGTAACATTAGACTTTTCCTACTACTTCTGCTACTCTTATATAAGGATTATGAGTATGACTCTAACGCGATGACTGTCGCAATCTCCCGACCCCTATACTACAGTGCTAGAACCTCCTTCCTGGCAGGGTCATCATAAATACGCTCTCGAGAGATACCAGCGGCCTGAAGCAGAAGTGGGTTCTTCTAGGCTGAGGTTTAACTGACCTTACTTAAACTGAACGCATCCAGACGAAGCAGGGCCAGAAACCTGTGACCATAAACTCCCCGAGCCCGAAGCCCCAAACCCCTACACCCTAAACCCCGAACGCTAAACCCGCAACCCCTAAACCCTACCCATAGGCCCCTAAGTAGTTCCTTTTTGGGATTACCTTACAGGATTCTAAATTCAAACCACAAAAATGAACTACTTAGGGGCCTATGGGTACAGGTCAAGTCCCGGGGTGCTGACATCCCGGGTGCCATCTTCGTGTGGTTCTTGGTAACTTGGTCAACCTGGCACCATTTTCGCTTAGGTTTTGGGTTTACAGGGTTTAGGGTTTAGGGTTAAGGTTTAGGGTTTAGGGTTCGGCTGTAGGGTTGCAAGGTTTAGGCATGCTTCCGGTTTATGTTGCTAGTCACCCTAAACCCTAAACCCTAAAACCCTAAACCCTAAAGCTTCAGGGTATCAGGGTTTAGGGTGAGAATTTGCGGCCTGCGTGTATGAGGGTTGGGGCTTGAGGCTCCGAATGTTGTGGTCTGGAGAAGAAGAGGCCTAGTTTAGGGTTTAGGGCTTTAGGTTTTAAGGGTTTAGGATTTAGGGTTTAGAGTTTAGGGTTTAGGGTTTGGGGTTTGGGGTTTAGAGTTTAGGGTTTAGGGTTTGGGGTTTAGTGCGCTAGTTTTCGAGCATTTCAGGTCCAGAAGCCACAAGCCGAAACCCCAATCGCTGCAAAGGCACTGTGCCCCTGACGTTGCTTTGAAATGGCACAAGTGCCTGTGACTTTTCCACCCGGCACATCCTCTGACAATTCGATGTGTGAGGCAACGGGAGAGGAAAGGCTAGAGTGTATATTGGTATAGTGCTCATATAGTATCGGTGCATGCAGCACAGTACCGTCCAGTACACTACAGTACAGCCAAATATCATGTAGTATAACAGAGTAGTATACTGCATTGGAGCTTTGTGGCAGAACTCTCAAACTTAATTCCTGTCTGCGCTTTCGGCAGATTCTAGCTACTGGGCTTGTGCCATTGGTGGAGCTAGCACTTAGGTCGAAACGTATGAAAGAGCCAGCGGGCTGCGGGCACACGCATAAAGCCCTGCAGCCCAGCAAGATGGGAGAAGAAGCACGCAGCCGCTACACCCAAGAGCACGAGGTCGACGATGAGGGCCTTCCCAGAGAGCCCAATACCCCTCCTTAAATTAGAAGGGGCTTCATATTATGGTTTAAGCTATATTCCTTAATGAAGGGGTATTGGGCTCTCTGGGTTCAACGGGGCAAAATGGGGCAACAGTCTGGAGCACGACTGCCTGCTTGAACCGATTGTGAGGTGTGTAGAACATTGCTACTGAAGGCGCTAAGCCTGAGATTCCACAGCGCCCTCTCACGTCCACTTACCCCACACGCCTTTTGGACGTCTGCGAGCTCCTTGAGCTTAAAGCCGTACGAGATCGCGTAGCAAGTGGCGAAGGCAAGTGTCACGATCTTCGCAGAAAGCGAGCCCAAAAAAGCCTTGTCATCCCGCTCTGCACTGCACCACAAGACCACTGTACTACCCATGAGGATACCATTCATACCACCCAGCAAAGCATCACTGCATCCATAGAGGAGGAAATGAAAAAGCCACACAGCGAGGGCCAGCCAGCATCGAGAGAGTTTCACATCTGCAAGACCCCGCACCGAGAATTGCTGTTGTCTCACTTCCCTCAAGGCCGGCGTTGACATTCCTGAGTCCAGCAGAACTTGTACTGAAGCTTCCACCTGTCTCCAGCGGTCAGCAATCTCACCTTTGATGGTATTCGTGTCGTCTGGATTACCTTAGTTGCTGAGTTCATACGCCAAAAAAATGTACACGTTCAGTTTCATAAGGAGTCATATTATCCCAAAAGGTTTAAAGTGTACTCATTCAGCTACCTAAGTCACCACAGGTAGCATCTTGCACTCGAGTGCCCTTTTTCAGTTGCAGCGAGGAAGATTCCTGCTTTCGCTGCACAGCATGGAGTCGATCCATTTCGCTGGAGACCAGGAAGATGAAGAAGAGTGGGATCAACAAGAACTTCCCTGTGGGGTCTTGAGTTACGACTCGCAGCGGCAAGAAACCTAGTGTCGAAATGATTCGGGTCCAAAAGCCCAGGATAAATCCCAGGGCCAACGATCCCAAACAGTTGAGGCCGGCAATAGCACGGGAGGAACGGCCACAGAGAACCACCAGCACCACACAACCTGCTGCCACATCTTCAAAAATGAACGGGGGCTTCGCGCCCAAGGCATATGACACTTGCAGGGAGTGCACCACATCCTTCCAGGTGTCAAAGGTGTCGGTTGGACTGGCGGCAGCTTTGCCTGCTGCACTCCAGAAGAATCCGGCAACGGCACCAGTGACTATGGTCAACAGCGCCACTGCTACAGAGGGAAGCCGCTTCAATGGGGGCCTTCAGACGATGTAATTAGAAGAGTATTCGACAGTAAACTCCATCCATGTACTATAAGCAGAACATAACATATATTCCAATAGACTCTAGTAGTAAACTACAGGTATACTTGACAGGGAGCAGTGGGGGCGTAGTAACTGGAATAATTATACTAATAATAATAATAGTAATCATATTAATCATAATGACAACACTAAGAACAGAAATAATAAAAAGTAGGATGCCTAGTCCAAATCCTACTGGCCCCAGTCCTAGTCCTACTCCTCCCCTAGTCCTGCTCCTAGTGCAAGTACTTGTGCTAGTACTAGTACTAGTACTAGTACCAGTACCTACGGTAGATGATAGAAACCCAGCATTACCCAAAATAAGGAACATACCCTCATTACCATAGTTTAGGGTCCTTAAGGTAATGCAGGATGTATATCATCAACCGTAGTATTAATGCGAATGCGAGTAGTTATGAGAACTTCTAGAAAGCTTCGAGCATGCTTCTCACAGTCTCCCCGAGCCAGGCTACCCAGCTGACTCCTTCCAACCGTACTTCCCCACTCTACTCTACCTCACTCTAGTATACAACCCTAAACCCTAAACTTGACTGTAAACCCCAAGACCAGCCTGGCAGTGATAACCACCTTGTTGTAGTAGGTCGCCAGATATGCCTCGTAGCCACACCAAAGCCGGGAGTAGATGCTGCAGACCTGTGGCAAGGCTCTGCCTCGAACTATAGCAGGGTATTAGAGCTCAGGGGCAACTACGATCTCTCCTTATCTACACTACACTAAACCCTAAACCCTATACACATTAGAGACACTGTACAGCATGCCATTAAATAAAAATCACCCACCGCCTGCGTGGGGACAACTAGCATGTGACTGGCATTCTGCAAGGCCAGGGCAAAGGGAGAGGTGCGGGGCACAGCGATGAGGCTATTGATGTAGCCTCAGATCTTCTTGTCACAGGCCCGAGGATTTCGGGCTTCGGGTCTAGGGCTTAAGGTTCGGGGCTTGGTGCTTGAGCACACCAAAAAATTCAATAGCTGCTTCGGGTTTTAGGGTCTTAGGTTTGGGGCTTGGTGCTTGAGCACAAAAGTGCCAATAGTTGCTTCGACATGCTCATAGCAAGAGGTAGGTGGAAGCTCAAGCACAACAAGAAAGAATCAAAACAATCAACCTTCAACGCCAAAACCCCTCTCTAATGTAGGGGCCTTCATGATTAGAATAGGGTTTTGGGGTCTATCATACTATAATTATAATAAGGAAGCCCAGACACCCTATTCTAACCATTAAGGCCCTTATGTTAAACTCCTGAAGCCCCAACTCATCCCAGAAGCGGGGAAGGCTCTGTGGCATGGCAAGGACACAGCACCAGGCAGCTCTCTTTCCCCTTGGCCAGCTAGCAAGCACTTTGTCCAGAAACTCAAAGGCACCCTCCTGGGCTTGTACCGGGCCTATGGGGGCCCACAGTTTAGGTACGTTTTTCCATGGGCTTTAGGACTTATGGTTCAGGGCCCATGAGTGCAGGAGCTTCCGTGGCAGGTTAGTTGCTTGTAGCTTGGGTTCAGATTACGTAGGGTTCGCATCAACTTGAACCTCGCGGACGCACTGTGGCAGGTAGTGTCGCTGCACTATGAAGTGCCGTTGCCAGTGCTCAATACAGTGATCCAGTATACGATTATACATTGTAGCATGCCGCACCATCCTCTAAAGAAAACAGTATACTAGATAGTATACTCCAGTCGGAGTACTGTATATGATGAAACCGCAGGTTGTAAAGCCCTCCTGTACAATGCACCCCTTCCGACCCTAAACCCTAAACCCTAAACCCTAAAGCCCTACTGTACAATGCACCCCTTCCGTCCTGCCAGGCATGCGTGATGAAAAGGTCGCATGGAAGTCCCTCAGGATTTCGGAGCAGAGCCCAGCTCATCCTTCGTTTTAGGGCTTCGGGTTTAGTTTTGGTGGAAGGTTCTGGGTAGCTCTGGGTAGCCAAACCTATAGCACAGGACAGTATGTTGTAGTTAGAGTATACTAGAATCTGTTCTTTTAACTTATGACGATGTCTAAGTCTAAATACTGTGGCATACAGCAAGAGACCTTTGTTTAGATAAAGTTCTCTCAGCAACTGGTTTACAAACAAGTTCTGGAGGAAGTTGGGCTAGTGGGCCTTGCTGGCGCGAAAGAGCTACAACCAACCCACGTCCTGCCGGCATCCAGAGTCAGAGGCTTGATGTAGTTGTCGGTCAAATTGTACATGTTGGGGCCAATTCTATCATCCTCTGGATTGAAGGGATCGGGCCTCTCGTCATCGAAGACCGGCTCGATAATCGGCATGACCATTTTATGGTCGATTGCCTGGCGGACTTCCTGCCGAAGGAAGCGTAGGTCCTGCGGCGTCACACACCACATGCCGGGCGGAAGTTTCTTGTGCAAAGCTCTGCCATCGCGGCCCCATCCAGGGAAATTGGGATCACCATCGTCCATTGCAGAGGCAAGTCAAGAAGTGAGGCCAAGGATATGGCTCTACAGTGAGGCTGGAAACTACGAAAGCTGCAACGGCTGCCATGCCAATGACGATAAAGAAATCGCAGTAGGATAGCAGCGTGGAGCCAGTGCGAAGTGTGCCACAAGTCAGGATATGCCATTCTCAGCCCTGCAACTCCAAACCCTGACTTAAATCCCGAAATCCCTATACCCCAGACCATGCCCCAAACCCCTTTACCCGTGAATCCGGAACCCCTACATCCCCAAACCCTACAACCCCCAAACCCTCGACCCCAAACCGTGCCAGGAGGCCGAGATCGCTTGCCATTCGGCGACCGGCCGGTTCAGTTCCCGCCTGATCATAGTCTTTGTGCTACGGGGACTCCGAGAATGACAAGAAGGGTTTAGGGTTAAGGGGTTTAGGGTTTAGGGAATAATGTTCCGAATAGGGAATAATGTTCCGAATAATAAGTGAAATCAGGCATCAGACTAAGAGTACCAAACTGACAGCAGTAGAGACAACATAGATACCAACGATTAGGCTTTGGGGTTGAGGGATTCCGCGTTACACACACTCAAAAAAACGAGTAGTTAAGCGCCTTGTGCTTGGGATCACGGTTTTACGATTGCTGTTGTTTAGATATAGAGCCAAATTAATTACAGATACCTTTGAAATCTAAGGCTGTTACCCATAAGCACCCCCCCCCATCCCCCCTGTGCCCCTAAACCCTAAGCCTTTCTTACATGCAGCAAGAAACTCCACCCTTCATCATCAAGTCCTACTTGGACGTGGGTCCTGATCAGACCGTGGGAGTCAAGACGTGGTTGACGGTTAACCCAGGCATTCAGACATGCTCGCAGTCAGGAAGATGTATCTAATCAAGAATACAACCATCCAGACCCTAACCCTTAACCGTCGAGCGTGGCGAGTCCTTGCTCCTTAGGGGGTCTTGGCTGCTGTAGGAAAAATGCGTTCAACAGTTGTTGAACTCCTACAAAAAGATATCTGGGCAAGCGAAACCCAAACCCTGCCATGTGGGGTCATAGGACTTCGAAACTTTCGTGCATACATGGGTAGTTCTCTAAATTCGGGGTCCCTTTTAGGGTCCTTGTTATAAGGGTGCCGCACTATATTGGGGACCTAAAAAAGGGGACCCTAATTTAGGGAACTACCCACGTGAGTCCTGGCAGTAGACCCTAAACCCAAAACCCTAAACCCTAAGCCCTAAGCCCTAAGCCCTAAACCCTAAACCCAAAGCCCTAAGCCCCAAGCCCTAAACCCTAAACCCTAAGCCCTAAACACTCTGGCAGTAAGAAGTCTTGCCTACATCTCCTCTGCATGCGAAAGGCCGCCGTGGACATGCCATCGGGCTTCTCCTCCTGCTGCATGGGTTTAGGGTTTAGGGTTTAGGGTTTAGGGGTTTAGGGGTTTAGGGTTTAGGGTTTAGGGGTTTAGGGTTTAGGGTTTAGGGGTTTAGGGTTTAGGGGGTTAGGGTCTTCTGACAGTAGTCTCGGGTTTTGAACGGTTCTATCACAGGGTTCCTTGATCACTTGTATAGGGGTTCTGTACTGGTTTAGGAGAAAACTACCAGACGCTTCATCCTGCATCGTCAACATGAAGAACTTCCCTGAAACCTGAATCAATCCCGGCTGGCAGGTCTGATCTAATCCCAGCCACGATGACTGTGATAGTGATCATTCGAAGTACTGAGTGCAGAACATAACACCAATCGCCGAAACCTTACAGCCTCAACCCATCAACCCTGGCAGAACGAGACCCCAAACCAATGAAGTCTCAAGCCACAAGCCTTAACTTACTGGAGAACTAAGTTTAAAAAAAAAACTCCACGACCCCAAGTTTGCCCGACATCCCCTAGACCTTAAGTTTCGAAGTACCTGCAGAATCCTAAAACCCCCGAAAGGCTGCATGCCTCCTCGCCAAGGGGGGCTTCGGTGCGCCTGGCGAGCTCCTGTTGCGAGGATTTTGAGATGTGGGGAGGTTATTTAGGTCTTAGGATTTAGGATTTATGGTGTAGGGCTTGGGGTAATTTAGGGTTTAGGGTTTGGGGGTCTTAGGGCGTCAGCCTGCGTAGCTATTTTGAGGCTGCAGGGCCTTAGGGAGTTTATGGCCAGTTATGTCGGAATGATATGCATAACGATGCCGCCTGGTTCGACTTGGCAGTGAAGAAGACACCCTGAACCCCATGCCACAAATGCTGCCCCTTGGTTGGGATTTTTTAAGTTCTCGGTTTCCACGCAATGTCCGAAGGAGTAAGTCTCCAAAGCCTCCGGAAACCCCGTTAGAAAGGACCCGAACAAAGCCTTAAACATATCTGAAGTTCTATCGCGAATCACTCAACGGATTTCAGGTTCGTTGACAGCGAGGAGATGTCCTTCCCCGAGATCTGAAT